CATGTAAAAGCGGCTGTCATCATCACCTCTCCCTGACCACAAACATTCTCGGGCGCCACTGGACGCAGTCAACACCAGCCAGCGGCTACTGCTGCCTGAGACAGCAACAAAAGGTTCTGTGCACAATAAAGCCCTCATTCGGGTGACTTCTGTCTTTCATCTTCAACCTGGGATTCGGTCTGATGATTGTAGTGCTCTAGGCATAACCACTGCAACCGCTACAAGCATTCATAGACAGAGCGCAGACACGCAGTAGGCAAAGTCTTTAAAAAGTGGTAGCTTTGTGTGAGATGACACTGTGGGGAGGGGGGTTACCTGCGAGAGCCTGAAACGACGCACCGGATCCACCTGCAGCATGCCGCGTATCACCTGTTCACAGGCCGTTGAGAGGAAGAAGGGAAAGCGTACAAGGCCGCGCAGAACCTGACTGCGGATGTCACCCAGGGACTCGCCGGGAAAAGGGAAGGATCCACACACAAGAATGTACAAGATGACGCCAAGGCTCTGCAAACAACAACAAAATAGAATTCATGAGGAGGGGTCCTGATCAAGATTCCACGGTGGAAACTGTATAGGTACCGGAGAACACATGCTAGGAGGAGTCAAAACTCTGTGGAATTAGACGTGCACAACCCCACCCCGACCATCTTTAGTGGACTGGGAAGTTTTCACGGAATTAATAATCGTGATGCTACTCATGACGGTGTTGGTGAACTCGTGGAGGTACAGAGAAATATGTGGATGAACTATGTGCAACCTTTGTTGTGAATAAGACAACCGCCGTCTACAAAAGGTGGTAAAACAAAGAATGCTTACTACTACGAACTAAGTTAGTAGTTATGCAGAGTAAACGAGTGCGTTATGGCACCCATAACCTGCCTTTACCAACTCGCATAATAGGCGGCATTATAGCGTCGCTCCTATATGGATAACATAAGAAGGCGACGGGCGATGCGCTAGAAATGACCGTTCTCGTGCCTTTACCAGCAACACTTTTCGATAGCCCATGTGGATCGTAGATCTTGCTGCCAAGGTGAGACGACAGACCGGTAAACACCAACTCCATGTGATCGAACTAATCATCCCGCAGTGGCCTATTTTGAACTTAGGTGTCTTCAGATTAACGACTTTAAGAGGCAGCTCAATTTTGTGCGTGTACGAACAGTAATTAATGGTGAGAATAAAGGATACTTGAAATTGATGGTGCTTACGCCATGCTAGGAATCAGTACAGAATACATGACCTCCACTGACGTTTTCCGCCAAAACGGGATTTCAAAATGACTACCATGAGGCTTTGAGTGCGCAAAGTGCCTAGAAGCTACGATGATGACACACAGCAGTCGATTCTATCGGAATGGGTTGGGCAGATGACTTTGCTGCCACAGGGAGAGGAAGGCACATATCTACTGATGAGACGAATTTCAGCCAGACCCGGAGGCGAAAGTGCATGGAATGTGACGTAAGCTGCTTACCCAGACGTCCACCAGTGGCCCGTCATACGGTTCGCCCTTAAAAAGTTCGGGTGCAGCATACTGGGGACTTCCACAATGGGTTGTCAGAAGCTGGTCGGCGTGAAAGAAATTGCTGAATCCAAAGTCTAAAAAACAAATAAAGGTAAAGGTCGGGGGATCAGTTTACAGAATGTTAGTGGGACGATAAGAGTAGCCACGGTTAATGAGGGCGTGGGAAGAATAAGAGAAGGAGAACGAAAAGGGGATGCGGACAGAGAGGGGGAGGAAGGAGGAAGAATAAGAAGAGAAAGAAAGGAGCAGAGGAGGATGATAAAAAGGGAAGGAAGGAGGGAGGTTGGAGGGGGCATAAACAAAAAGAAGGAAGAGAGGGGAGGAGGAAGGATGAGGATGGAGGGGAAGTAGGGGGCGAGGGAGGAGGAGAAAAAGGAGAACAAAGAGCCAACAGCAAGAAGAGACCAAAAAAGTGGATTACAAGCAAATAGCTGTCTATCCTACCCGCAACCTTTATTTTGAAGTCAGCGTCAATAAGGAGATTCTCAGCTTTCAAGTCGCGATGCACAATGCCCGACTTGTGACAGTAGTCGATAGCACAGACGACCTGCCAAAACAGTTCTCGGGCCTCTTTCTCAGTGAAGGCGTGTGAAAGACTGATGTGATCTGGAGGGAACGGCAAGGATAAAAAGAGGAGAATTTTTTAGTCACGGCTCTGGTCAGGATAGGATAGACGAAAAACACTTCGAAAACAGGCCGGTGGGGTCGGCGAAGACAAAAAAGAGCACCTCACACAAACTCCAGACAAAAGTTGCTTATAAAAACAATGCTGCTTACAGTTTGTGAGAACCCGTTTGAAAGTGATGCTTTTTGTGCGTGCGTGTGCATATGTACAGTAGGTTGCCAAACTCATGCAATCCTACGATTTTTACAAGTAA